TGATGTAATATTATTTATTTTAAGATATTAAAACAAAAACATGTTAAAAATCGCTACACAATTACAGTCATGTTTCAACACCACAAGTGTGTTTCCTCGGGCGATGTTAAATCACTGGCGAGCGAAAGATTAATTTAATTTCAAAAGCAGAATACTTTAAAAAAATTGGCTTGTGCGCTTTGTCGTGATTAACCAATCTAATGTGACCTACGCTAAATTCAAACCCACCGGAAAAAATTCAATATAGATAACGACACAAAGTTGTCTGCATATAAATCACAGACAATTTCATGATGGACAGATACAAGTTTTTACATTATTTCGTAAGATTTATCGAAGTCTGGCGTTCAGCTTTCTAAATAAGTAAAAGCTAAATGGGGTTGGGAGGTAATTTAACACAATGCCAACCAGTTATATGCTCATTCAGCTTCTTACATAAAATTTTATAGTTGATAGATAACCCCTCCCCCCAGAACTAGTAAATAACTTAACCGTTTGAAAAGACTCAGATCAAAAATACAGAACTACTTTGACAAATTAATATGCAACTATTAAATAAAGAGCATCCATATAAGATGTTAACAATACCAACTAATCAATGTAAGATGTTAATAATAATAATTAAACACCTTCACATTCATATAAGATGTTAATAATACTAAACAAACATTTCATCTTATTATTATCAATTTCAAAGTTTAAACATATTGTAAGGTAAAAGATAGGCTATGTCTACAATTTACAGCCAATTCACTTCTTTGGTTTAATAAAGTGTTTTTATAAGAAAATCTGATAATTTCTAATTTTTCATGTAAGCATAGAAAACAGGTCTCATTTAAAGATCTACAGGTTCTAGTGTTTTAAAAAAAATCCATTTTACCTTAGGAGTTTTATTAGCTTCTTTTAAATTTCAAAAATATTTAGAAAGAAATGTACTATTTTTATAAGTACTATTGGTGACGGATAAGATATGTTAGTACAACTTAGTCTTAAAATAATTCTTGCTACTACCAATATAAAATTTTTCAACAGTCGGAATCTCTATCGCAGAAATAGTACTTAGATAAATAAGAGAGTTGGTTAAACATCTGTTTCGTAATGGGCATTTGTTAGAATTTTTGCAATTACATTGGTTAATATTATCAACAGTATTTATCTTTGAATGTTCATTATTATCCAAATGTTTTAATTGGTTTAAAATTTTATTATTATGTTTTTTTTATAATCTTCTCAAGATTATCGGTGCAGCTATAACTTAGTTTTAGTGTGTTTCTGTTAAATATTTTACTAAGAAGGTCACTTTTAAGGAAATATTTATCAATTAAATAGAAGAACGTCTGGCCTAACTTGCCTTACTGACCATTTGGTTAAATGGGGGCGGTGGGTGACCAAATGATTTTTCTATTCCTATTTCTTTTCTTGAGATTAGTATTATCATATTTTCCATATTTGATTTAGGCAGCATATCTCCATTCAAACCTATACTTTATGTTATAACATTATTTTATAATAATCTTTTCTAGTTCTCTAATTAGCTTCTTGATGTTAAGTTGAAATTCATCAAGGAAAGTGCCATAGTTTTTGTTAACTTAAGTACTTTCGATTTCCTCCGTGATCATCTTCGGAAGTGAATTGCAAAGACAAACTTATTGTTACTGTGATCGTTGCGATGGTAATTTTTGAAAACAAGCGTGAACACACCCTATTATAAATATTTTAAAATTTTAAATTTATCCGTTGTAGCTATGGTGTTTTTACATGCGTCCCAATATAAGGAAGCTAACCAGAGATGGTAGAAATGCAAAATTGCATTAAATGTTGGTCAAATGTATTTTAAAACATTGCTGCTACACTCGTAATAAATTTTAGTCAGTGTTGATTGGTTGCTTTTGATATAGAGACCCTCGAGAATTTGAATTTTTTGTTTTATTATTTTCATGGTGTCGTATATTGGTTTTCTCAACATGTATTTTCCTGTAGTGTGGAGGGGGACAAGTGTGTGCGTTTAAATGTGTGATAGAACTTGTATCAGACATATGGAGTGTAAGACGTTTTGATAATGTTGTGGCCGTCAAAACAACATATGTACGTACTTTTTTGTCAGAGATACAATCACCCAAAGGACATTTAAACTGATATACAATGGTGGTCTTTTCTAAAACATTTAAAACTGGGATTAGTGGGGAATATATTAGAACTGATGAGGATTTTTCAGACTTTTTCATCTTGTTTATAATTAGAATGCATTTGATTGCCGTATAGTAGGTTAAAATGTTTAGAGTTATTTGAGGAAGTTTTATATTCTTTTTGATTTATGTTAATAATTCTAATAGCTCGTCTAATTTGTTCATCAACGACGTAATTTGGAAAAGCATTATTAAAAATCTATCTATCTCTCTCTCTCTCTCTCTATCTATCTATCTATCTATCTATATATATATATATATATATATATATATATATATATATATATATATATCTGGCCAAATCGGTTAAAGGCACGTCAAGCTAAATGACGGATTCCGTATAGGTTCGATTCCTGTCGGAGGACGAATATTTTCTGTGAAAATTTCTCGGACATTCAGGCCGGTAAATGTTGTTTAATACTGATTATTATAAAACAGAGCATTTACTTAAGTATTTGTATCTATAAAAAGAATGTCTAAACATAAAAATGTCTTAAAATAATTGTCGGAAATGTCCATTTCATAATGTGTGACGACATTTGTTTACATTTGATACGCCATGAGCAGATATGAATGTACGTGAGAGATTCATAGAAGATTCAAGTTTAAATACAGTGAATTCGACCTTACTAACCGAACGCTCCTCTGTGGCGAAATCCATTTAAAGGAACGTCAAGCTAAACGATGGTTCCGTATAGGATACAGGTTCGAATCCTGTTGAAGGGCGAATATTTTCTATGAAAATTTCTCGGACATTCAGGCCGGTAAATGTTGTTTAATATTGTTTATAATAAACAGAGCATTTACTTAAATATTTGTATCTATAAAAAGAATGTATAAACATAAAAATGTCTTAAAAATTATTGTCGGATATTTTCGTCTTCCGGCCTGAAATATTCGAGAAATCTTATGAAAGAAAAATAGACGCTCTCTCTTTTTTGGAAATCACTTTGTTTATGTTTGGATATGAAAGTGAGCAGAAAAAATATACAGGAATTTATAAGCAATAGTCTAGTATACAGGGGACATAACTTTACATAATTTTAACAAAGTTATCTCCCTTGCAAATAAACCCGTCCAATAATTTGCCTTGATATCGTTAAATTTTATATTCTTATAATTAATATATTTTTTAATTGAAAGTGATCAAATAAGTTGAATTAATATTTCATATTATTATTAAGTGATGACGATTCTTTTTTTTTATTTTAATCTTTCTGCTTTTATCAATTTATCATATATATTTGATGACTGCTCATTTTCGAGGACAAACGGATCTTCTTGGGTGGCTAACTAATTCTTTTTGTTTTTGTAATCGTTTCATCCTAAGCAAGGTAATATAGCCACCAGTAGGCAGTGCATTACGGAGAATAAGAAGACTTTAGTTGTGAGAAGTGAGGAAGAGAACAATAAAGGAAAAGGATTCCGAAAGACAGAAGATGGCGATTGACTTTGCATTTAAATTTTAGAATATTGTAGGTGGAAAGGAATCAAGAAATCGGGAGGGAGTTCCACAGTGCGAGAAAAAAAAACCCTATTAAAATAGAACAGACAGTGAATAGTTCAACAGCAAAATGATGAGACCTAGTTGCCAATCTAGTAGAACGCTTAAATTCATGCAGTCAAGGTACGAAGAAAAAAGCTCATTAGAACAGTTGCCATGAAAATATTTGTAGAAAATACAGAAAGCCTATGTATGGAAAAATAATTCTCTCTGAAGATGACAATTTTTAATTGGTGAAAGTACCCGGCCTGTGTCTTCCATCTGACATCTAATATAAGGATCTTATTATTCAAGGAATTGATAGAAAGTTAATGCCTCATTAAGTCTTGTTAGCGAAGTGATTTCGCCATGAATCACATTAACATTACTATTTAAGTGTTTCTTTATGATATAGAATATATGCTGCACACGCTAATATATATATATATATATATATATATATATATATATATATATATATATATATATATATAATATTAGTGGAAAATATACATACATATGCAAAATATATATAAAAAAATACCCATACATGTATATTTTCAGAAAAAATTTTCCAAGAGAAAGAATCCAGGTAGAACTCAATGTCTAGGACAGTAAGGATATAATAAAAGGCTTAAACACTAATATTCCATGGTCATAATTAATTCATTGGAATCGTAAATAGGATCCAAATCATCAGACCTACAAAATTCAAAATTTTGAATTTGTAGGTCTGATGATTTGATCGTATTTACGATTCCAATGGAATAAATTATGACCATGGAATATTAGTGTAAGCCTTTTTTTTATATATATATATATATATATATATATATATATATATATATATATATATATATATATAATCGAAAATTAAAGATAACTTGTCAAGGATCCATGCAAGAAATTCATAAACTATTATCCTGTCTATTTCTGTTCGTGTATAAAATGTTTTATTATTAAGTCAATTTAAACGTGTCCAATATTTAAAAAAATATGATTGATGTATAAAAAATCCCCAGTTTGGTGGATGGAAAAACAGTTTTAAAAAGTAATACTAAATAAAAATGAATAAATTAAATTTTAAATGCTAATTGTGCATAAACCTAGCCGCCTCTTGTTTACAAAGGTGTGGCTGGAATTCATACTAAGTATATTAAGTCCTTCCAGCCATACCTCTGTAAGCAGTGGCTGTTAAATTTAGGCATAATTAATCTTTAAAATTTAATTTATTAATTTTTGCTTATTGTGTTTTTTATTGTTTTTCTGAGTATCTATTTATTTTTAAATATAATTATCATATTTTTAAAATATGTGTTTTTATGTTTCAGTTTCAAAACATTTACACGGTGTAACGGGGGCTGCGTACCGCGAACTAATGATGAATTTATGCAAGTAAGATTACATTTTAGATAATTTATCACATGCCCCTCCCGAAATCGACTTATATTAAATACATTTAATCGTTGAATGAAATTCCCAATTTTAGTGTCAAAGTTAGGGATATATATTTGCGTCCTTAATCTTAGGCTAATGGGTGAACTATGGAAGAAAGGTTTTTTTCCAATTTGCATTTCCCCAATTATGGGCATTATTATATCTATGCTATAACACACTATTTCACGAACGGAATAACTGAAAGAAAACAAAATGACAAACATGCTTTTTTCTCTGAGCGAGTTTTATGATACTAAGTTGTAAACAAAAAATATATATATATATATATATATATATATATATATATATATATATATATATATATATTCGTCGGTGTCTCACACAGAGAAACTATATCACATGTCTACAACAGCAAGCAATGTGTAAAAAAAAGGCGCGTCACTTGTAATATTTCCCAAAGTGACTTACAGTGAATTCGATATGAACCTGGTGACGCCATGTGTTTTTTTTTCCCTTTAAGACCTTCTTCCCCGGGCTTTACGTCCTAATGCCTTTTGTCGCTCTAGCCCCTAACGTCATTCACCGGCTGCCACATGACTGCAGTGACTTTATCTCAACGAAAAGATGATAATCGCCTTTTGTATTGCCACAAGGATTTTAGTAAACTTTGTTGCAATTTCTCTGTATGATACTTTTTGTTTTTGAATTGGAAACAAGACTTAGTAAATATTCAGGTAATTTGCTCCAATGTAATGGTTAACAAGTTTATCAGATTATAATGAATTTAGTCCTGACTGGATGCTCCAACGCGTGACAGACTAAGGTAAGATTTGTAAATATCTCGCTACCTTGTTCTCGTGTAATGATTAACTAGCTTGCCCATTAAGACCATTACTAGTGAGTGCTCCTCATTATGGCCTTGGACCAGACTAAATTGCAGATACACTATTTACATTATTCGGACTATTGTCCTCATCTTTGTCGCCATATTTATTACAATGTTTGGAACATTTCAACCACCTGAAGAAGGTCGGAGCGTACAACGGCCGAAACGTTGTAATAAATATGGTGACAAAGATGAGGACAATAGGTTGAATAATGTAAATAGTGTACATATTACCTCATGTCAGAAATATAGACAGATACTAAATTGCAGATGCTATGAAGAACAAGTAATAGAATAAATAAAAAGGAAGATCTAATTTTTTTTCAATGAAATGAAATATTGTTAACGGCTCCTGTGACCGCCTTACAAGTTATTTTGGGAGTTCTTCAAGGGTTCCTCTAAAATTTATGATGATGACAAAAGTTGGCAGATCAACAGTTGTGTCGTTTTCACATGCAATTACATCAATAAGTGATTTTAAGTGTCGTTGTATTGTTTGAGGTCTACTATATAAGAACTTCCTCTTCTCATCCATTAGAAATTGTCTTTCATGTTTTGAATCCACTGAATGCATCGGTCTAATAGACGAATTTTATCTTACAAGTTTGGTGTGGATATATGGAAAGATTTCAAACCTCATCATGAGCATGTGAAAAAAGATATGAGAGCCCCTGTCTGTTTAATCTCTCCCTAGACTATGCCTCGAGCATTTACAAGTATAAATATAAAGAGATGGGCACTTATCATTTAAGCAATCCATAGCATATCCCAAATGAATCTATCACTAGAAGATAATGATTGTGTTTTCCCTCCTGAGGCCAATGTACTGATGATGGTGATATGCTGACGACGTGGGTATTCAAAGTTGGGAGAATAATTTCCTTGAACCAAAAAAAAAAAAAAATAAAAAAATAAAAAAATAAATTAAATAAAAAATTAAGATCAACTACCAAGAAATAGGACTTATATCTGTTATGGGACCTTACCCATAATAACATAATGGACTATTCTATACGTAATAAATACTGCGCCTCAAGAGGAAGCAGAGAGTTCCGTCTGAAGTCGGGCGACCGGCTGACCGGCTGATCGGTTGAACTCTCATGCCTTCGGGCGGGGAGGAACCCGAACGAGGCTACGCCGAAGGGTGGAGTCTCTTTCGGGGAGGTAAACCGACCCTGAATCCGTTTATACGGGTTCAAAGGGCATATTTTTGGCCGAGCCCACGGGCTCGGAGACCCCACGTTAAACCGGCCTTGTGCCACATGATGCCCTCGTGGGGGTGACTAAATACTGTTCAGTCTAAAGTCTGGAGCGAGGTCCGTCAGAAGTCTGTCAGTCAGTCAGAGCGAGCGAGTCAGTCAGTCGAATCAGAGGCAGTCCGAAACAGAGTCGCGTTCAGACAATTACTGCAAGACATTGGAACAGTGATACTGGTCGAGACTACGTTGTTCTCCCTACTAAACCTGATTGTTCGTACTAACACTTTCTACATCTCTGTATATATTTCTGTTTGTAATATATCTGTGTTATTCCATATCTGTGTTCGAGTTCTTCTTTATTGGTTCTACCTTGGACTATCACCGTGGTACAAGGAACCAGACCATAACAATATCAAATTATGATAATTTCAAAATTTGACTTTATAAGTGTGAATTACTGATTCAACTGCCAATGTTTGGATTTTAGTTATAAATTTTACTTGTTTTCCTTAAAAATACGCCAGGAAGAAAAAATTTGCGAAAAATAATTTTATATTCATGGATTCTTGTCAAATAAATCATGAATTATTTTCTTTCAGGGACTTTTCTCAACCAGTGACGACTTGTTTTCTCCGAAAAGTTGAGTGTCTTGACGTCGAAGCTGTTCCTTATGAAGTTTTTCGCTACGCCATCTTCTGTTATTGTAGCGTCAATGGTGAGTGTCGATATGCTAAGATGGCCACTTATCCATAGTCAGAATGAAACAGTTGGGATTTCTGCAGCTCTTAATGAGGAAAGAAGGTTTGGAAAAGTAACACTCACAGGACATATTGAATGCAAGTGGAGCATAGGAAAACAACGAGTAATCTCCCTCATGATTGCAGAACAGACAGTGCGAGGGATAGTAAAAAGACAAACATTGCTAAGAGCTACAAAGGATAGGAAATTGTGGAGAGTCGTGAACACCTACTAAAGAGACCTGTGTAAATGGATGGCAGAACAGGCAGTGGGAGAGATAGTAAAAAGACAAACGTTACTAAGAGCTACAAAGGATAGGAAACTGTGGAGGGCCATGACCACCTACTTAACAGGTCTGTGTAAATGAATCGGAGAACAGGCAGTGGAAGGGATACTAAAAAAAAAAAACATTGCTAAGAGCTACAAAGGATTTTGCCAGCAATACATTTTTGGAAAAAGAATATTACCAGCAATAAAAATCTTGTGGCATTAAATAACCCATTGAGGTTGATGTGCTGTAAAGCAAACCAAACCAAGTCAATCAAAAACCCAAATCATTGACGCACAATAATTCATACTAATTCGACTGGAAATTTTCACTCAATAGTCACTCGATAATCACTGCAGTCAGTAGCCTGACACCGCTATTTATACGCCTGCTGGAAAACATATATTCTTAAGTCTAGAGTATCACGCTCGAACCTCTGTGTCGGTAGTTACTTATTTTTTCCTATATGACAATTATATATTATCTATTATCATAGAACTATTACCATAGATCTATTATCATAGAACTATTACCATAGATCTATTATCATAGAACTGTTATCATAGAACTATCATCATAGATTTATTATCATAGAACTATTATCAAAGATCTATTATTATAGAACTGTTATTATAGAACTATTATCATAGATCTGTTTTTCATAGAACTATTATCCTAGAACTATTATATATCTGTTATCATAGAACTATTATCATAGATCTATTATCATAGAACTATTATCATAGATCTATTATTATAGAACTGTTATTATAGAACTATTATCATTGATCTGTTTTTCATAGAACTATTATCCTAGAACTATTATCATAGATCTGTTATCATAGAAATGTTATCCTAGAACTATTATCATAGATCTGTTATCATAGAAATATTATCATAGAACTATTATCATATATCTGTTATCATAGAACTTACGGATACACCAAGCCAATTCAACTGTAAATGGACAACATTTTGCTGCTAATCGAGTTTTTCTTTTCATGTGCTGTGTCCTTTCAGGACTTAGGTGATCATGGCTCTCCTCTTCCCCCTATCGGTTTGTCATGCATTGCTTTCCCTTGTCTCTTTTTTCCCCCTCTATTCGACCTGTGTGTATCAGATTCTCCAGACCCTCCTTTCTCATTACATGTCCCAGAAATTTCATCTGCCTCTTCCTGATATTAAGTATAATCCTCCTCCTTGTTTGCATCGTCTCAAGACCTCACCATTGCTCACACGCTCGGTCCATGGTATCCTTAGCATCCTTTTGTAGAATCATACCTCCGTTGCCTCGAGTCTCTTCTTCATCTTTGAGGAGACAGTCTGACATTCACTGCTGTAAAGGAGGACAGATGTCACGTAGCAGGTCAGTACTCTTTTTTTGTTATCAAAGAAATCCTCCTGTCTCGTAATACCCTGCCAAGCTTTTGGAATGCGTCTTTGGCCATCCCAATATGTCTACGGATTTCAGGGTCGCACTTACCGTCTTTCGTCAGAACACTTCCCAGATATTTAAACTTCCGCGACTATTTATTTTAGTGTCCCCAACTTGCAAATGGCATTTTGGGCTCATCTTTTTACTGATGACCATACATTCTGTCTTCTTGTAGTTTATGGTTAGTCCTTTCTTCTTGCTCTCCTTCGCTACCTTCTGTAGGAGTTTTTTTTTAGTTTCTTTTCCGTGTCTGCTATCAGTACTGTGTTATCTGTGTATCTTATGTTGGTAAGATTGTGGTCGCCAAATGCTGAATCCCAGTAGGATTTCCAAAATTCATAAATTCTAGGTACCATAGAGAAAACTTCGTAAGAACAAACTTTGCGAAGACCAGCATTTGTTTTAAAATCTCCTTATGCTGTTGTGGGATTATGCTGGAATTGAACTGACCCCAACTTCCCACCAGACTGTTATTGTTGCATACCCCATCGTTCTGGGGAGGTCTTGGTTGATGAAGTCGATTCCATAACATTGTATCGTCTCCCACTCGTATTCTAGCGGCTGGATGTCGAAATGTTTTTTTTTTTTTTAATTCAACAGAAGAGATTTTAAACTTATCTATTTTATTAAACTCGTCGACGTGTATATTTCTGACTAGCCAGTGGGGTCGCTCTATCAGCTCCACTGCGGAGAAAGTTCCCCGAGACACGAAATAACCACGTCTACTGTTTATGGCGTGTAAAACTTAACTCCTGGAAACTCCTTTCTATCTCTCTAACATCCCCACTGTAATTTTAACCAATCAAAAACGACTTCTTTTGTTTTCCTGTATCTGACCGCAAAGGTCAAAATGAGGAAGTCAGAGGAGAATACAATTCTCTAAAAAATAATAGTCTGCTAGACTATTATTTAACGTTTCTTACCCAACCATAAAAAATCATTTATGAATTTTATTTCAATTACATTATATTTAGCATTATTAGAATAGCCGACAATTCAACCGAATAATTCATCATTGGGAAATTTAGAAACAACCCCAAATCTTCATGTAAATCTCGAGCTCTTCCTCTCTGACTTTCCTTTTTTTGCTTTTTTTTAAGCATTTCACCCCAAGCAAGGCGGGAGTGACATTAGCACGCAAGAGGTTACAGAGAGTGAGAGCAAGAGTAAAGAGGCGTGATAGAGGAAAGAGTAAAGAGAAGGACGTGGAATAGATCAAGGCATCTGCCTTAAGAGTGTTAATTTTTCAAAGCCCTCTTTCCTCATAATGTATCCTATAAATTTCAACTTTGTCTTTTTGATTTTAAGTATGTGTCGATCTATCGGCCATTTTCTTCACAACTTCCTCGTTGCTCACATGTTCAGTAATTGATTTCCTTAGTATTGGCCTGTAGAACAATGGATAAATTGTAATCATAAAGAACATATTTATCGGTTCACATCTGACGACATTTAAATACGAGTAAGGATTTAAGAAAATAGGTCGTCATATTTGATGGCGTGTGTCAACAAATTTTCATAGATGTTTCTTCTAGTTGGGGATCGGTTTTCTATTTTTATTAAACAATAAACTGATCCTCCTACCAGAATAATTGCTCATTAATATAATAATTGGAAAATATATATTTGAAGACTTACATGTGCAAGCCTAATAATAATATTAAGACCTTAAAACATGACGTCATTTTGATGTCCAAAATCAACTATAATTCATATAAGATTCTACTGGACTTAAAGTAAGGGATCGATTTTCTGTTGTTATTACGTAATAAACAGATCCCCCAGAATTGCTACGTATTAATATAATAATTGGAAAAAATATATATTTAAAGAAAAGCTTATGGTCATATCAAATTGAAACACCGGTTCACTGAAGTTAAGCAACGTCGAGCCTGCTCAATACCTAGATGGTTGACCGCTGGGTATACTAGTCCTTGTAAGCTTGGATGTGTGAGTGGTGTCATTGGGCTTACGGCCATATAACGTTGAAACATCTGTTCTCGTACGATCACCGAAGTTAAGCAACGTCGAGCCTAGTCAGTACCTAGATAGGTGACCGCTTTGGAATACCAGGCGCTGTAAGCTTTTATTTGTGTGTGGTGTAATGGCATACGGCCATATCACGTTGAAACATTAGTTCTCATATGATTTACGAAGTTAAGCAACGTTAAGCCTGGTCAGTACCTAGATGGGTGACCGCTTGGGAATACCAGGCGCTGTCAGCTTGTATATGCGGGTGGCGTAATGTATAACGGCTCGGAATTGGAAACTAGAGAGTCAAGTTCCAATTCCAGTTAGGTTCGTTGTATTTACTTACATGCAACTAGCCTTGCTTTTCTCATCCTAGCTATGGGTTAAATAGTAGGAATTGTATCAGACCCCCCCAATTCTTACAATCTAAATCTATATTTGGCTTTAAATAATCTGCGAAAGGTTGATAAACCGTAAAAATAAATCGATCAATATATTTAAAGATTCATGCGTAAAAACCTAATGATAGTAAAGAATTTAAACAATGTATGTCATAATGTTTCATGGCTAAAGTAGTAGAACTATAAAGTTGTAGTGAATATAAAATGGGGGATCATTTTTCTATTGTTATGAGCTAATAAACTGATCCCTCTCTCCAAGAATTACTACATATTAATATAAGATTCACATGCATAAACTACTCTCTGAATTACTTCGGAAGTGTGTTGGTCGAACTCTTTGCTACTGGGCAGAGAAGATCCCCGGACGAGGCTATGTCGAAGGGCAGAATCTCGTCTCGGGAGGCAGCTACCCGATCCTATTTTTACGGGGTCTACGGGGAATTTTTGACTGAGTCTACGGGCTCAGATTTTATTAATAAACTCGGCCTTGTCCCGCTTGGCTGCGTGAGGCGGTTAGTGAATATCACGCATGCATAAACCAATGGCAAGGACAAGAAAATAGGCAAACTTGTTTATGATATGAGAGAGAGAGAGAGAGAGAGAGATAACGAGAGAGAGGGAGGAAGAAAGACGGCGAGAGAGAGAGAGGGGTGAAGATGGAGAAGGAAAGAGAGAGATAACGAGAGAGGGCGGGGAAAGAGAGAGAGAGATGACGAGAGAAGAAGGGAGCAGGAGAGACAGAGGGAAAGATAGATGAAGGGAGAGAGAAAGACGGCGAGAGAGAGAGAGAGAGAGAGGGAAAGAGGTGGAAGAGATAACGAGAGAGAGAGCGGGGAAAGAGAGAGATGACGAGAGAAGGAGAGAGCAGGAGAGAGAGAGGGAAAGATAGATTGCGAGAAGGTGAGGGAAAGAGAGATGAAGGGAGGGAGAAAGATGGCGAGAGAGATGAAGAGAGAGAGAGGGAAAGAGGGAGAAAGAGATAACGAGAGAGAGAGAGAGTGAGCGGGGAAAGAGAGAGATGACGAGAGAAGGAGAGATCAGGAGAGAGAGAGAGGGAAAGATAGATTGCGAGAAGGTGAGGGAAAGAGAGATGAAGGGAGGGAGAAAGACGGCGTGAGAAGAGAGAGAGATGGAGAGAGAGAGAGAGAGGGAAAGGAGGGAAGAGATAACGAGAGAGAGAGCGGGGAAAGAGAGAGATGACGAGAGAAGGAGAGAGCAGGAGAGAGAGAGCGGGAAAGATAAATTGCGAGAAGGTGAGGGAAAGAGAGATGAGAGAAAGAGAGGAGATAGATAGATAGATAGATAGATAGAGAGAGAGAGAGAGAGAGATGGTGAGAGCGAGAGGGCGAAATAGATGGATAGAAATAAGGAGAGTCATTCTACATGAAAAGTATAGGGCCACAGCCTCACTACGTTAATGTTGAAGCTGTGGTTACCGTAGCAACTAGGGTGGGTAGTTGCCAGTCCACACCTAACCGGTTTTAAATTAGCTGGGATGTGCGCGCGTGGGTGGTTGTGTTTGTGAAGAAATGGATTCATACCTTTCCCAAACGTATTTGTACGAAAATGAATGCAACGGCTTCTGCCGGAATTTGAACTCGGCATACCAAACCCACTTTCTTCACCGATGACCGCCACACTAAGCGCACATCCTAAAGTCATAATTTCGCTTGTTATTAGCTTGTAAATGAGTCACTGGATTTACTCTGGTGGGGTGTCTGTATTTAAGGACCCCATTATGGCTCCAGCGGGAACGTCGAAAACTGTGTTTAAAAATGGTGGTTATTAGAAAATGTGATTTGTGTTTTCTACCAAATTCTGTTATTAGTAACTGCTGCTTCACAGGATCGAGGCAGTTGACAATGGATTCGTCATTCATTGTTTGAGTGTACTGGAGTCAAAATGACTGATACTAGTTGACCATCAACACTATTTGGTCCGAGTGGTCAAGCAAGAGGCGGGCGAAAACAGGAAAAGAAGAAGAGTAGAAGGAAAAGAGAAACGTAAATAAATTGAACGAAGATTAATAATTTATACGCCACACACCTACATCCCCAGGGGTAAAATGACTACTCAATCAAGGATTAATGTCATAGAATTTTTTATGTCTGCAGTAGCTTACTGGTTACTGCAAACTACACTCATCTCAGGGTTGTGCTGTTCGAGTTCTTCGATGTTTAGTTTCCAATTTGAAATAAATTTTTTTTCAATCATTTTAATGCAGGCAAGGCAATAAAACCACTAAGACGCAAGACGTTACTGAGTGTAAGAATGTAAGTAAAAAAAAAAGAAGGAAAATCCTATTAAGGCGAGAGAATAATAATAAAAAAAAAGACAAAAATTAAGAAGACAGAAAATATCGATTGGCATTACGTTAAAATCTTTGAAGATCAAACTTGACTGGGAAGCTAAAAGCCGGAAGAGAGTTCCACAAGCAAGGCACGGAGAAGCGACATTACAGCAGCGGGGAAGTGACTGAAAGCGAGATGCCAGGTCAGGACCAATAACAATGCAGATTCTTCTTTGGATTTTATCAAGAATCTCTAAATGCATAGCAGGAGAACCAGATCAGATATGGCAGCTATATTCAACGCATGGACGAATGGTAGACTGTAAGATAGATTCTAGAGAGAAACATTGTTTAGCACGACACAGTGAACCAAACTGTCCTAGCAGCAAACCTAGCAATTGATTCAATATAATCATTCCACTCCATGTCAGCGGAAAATGTTAGCCCGAGAAATCACGTTACTCTCCTGGAGGTTAGCATCAGCCATGCTGATGGAAGGCAGCAACGAATCATTCAGATCATTGACAGAGAGCGGTTTCGTTTTGAAGCGTTAAAATTAACAAGCCATTCCTTGCTCCAGTTAACAGCCGATTGTAGATCATTTCTGAGATCAGTTCCAGTGCAGCGTAATATTTCGGTAATGTTCATTTAATCTCTTTTTTAGGAACTATTTAAGTACAGTGGTCCGCCCTTAGACAAAGTTAACTCTGGCCGTTGGTTTCGAAAATGACCTCCAATCTGTGGTTGACTGGGGCAGGAAATGGCTTGTAAACTTTAATGCCTCCAAAAATTAACTACTGTCATTTACTCACCATAGAGAAACTTCCCTGCCTCCTATCAGCATAGTTGACGCTCAACTCCACGAGACTGTCTTGCATCTACTGCAAGGAAAGTTGGTTCTCTGTGTCGTGTCAGAAGGTTTTACTCGCCTGTCCATCCTTCAAATCTACAAATTTACCATTTGTCCTTGCATTGAATACTGTTGCCATATATGGTCTGGTGCCCCCGCTGTTCATCTTGAGGTTCTCGACACAATCCAAAGACGGATATGCAATGTGATAGGTCCTGACCTGGCAACTCGACTCCAGGCACTTTCTCACAGATGTGATGTGTCTTTCCTCTTTTTAAAAATATTTATGGCAACGAAGCTACTTTCACTGGTACCCCAACAGCATGAATTTAAGCGTGCTACTAGGTTGGCATCTCGGTCCCACCCTTTCACTGTAGAAACGATTAAATGTTGCCGTCTCTTCTACTCCAACAGCTTCTTATCTCGCACCTCCCGTCTGTGGAAATCCCTTCCTATTACTTGCTTCCCTGATAGCTATAATCTTCAAATATTCAAATGTAATGTCAATCGACATCTTCTGATGTCTTGACCTTGATCCCCGTCCTTCTCGCTATCATTTCCTCAAACTTACGAGGAATTACCTAAAAAAAAAAAAAAAAAATATAGGGAAAATATTTTTCGGGAAATAATTTTTTTAGATTAGCGGTCCTTCGAGTTTCCTCAAGACGCGACATTTTTCAAAATCGGAAATTATTGATTTTTAGCATTTTAGAAGTTTCCTAATATCGATGCAGTGAAAATCGATCCCTGATTTTTTACAGAGTTATCTGAACTTAGTCTTTTTTTCATTTACCAATGTTGTACCTTGAAAATGTGCTTGTATCAATGATATCTGCGACGAGAAGAGACATTTCTTTACAAAAATATTTCTTTTTAGATAAAGAACAAACGGATATATACATTTGTAATCAAAGAGTAAAAGCTTACGAAAATTAATAAAGGTATAGGTGCCTGTTTAAGAAAAAAATTATTATCACCTACATTTGTGCATGTGCTTCTGGATATTGATCTCTGCAAAACGATTTTATAAGAAAGTTTAAACAAATAATAAAAAAAAACAACCAGTGGATAAAAGCGTTGGTTGATTGATCCAGAAGTGACTAGACCCAAAGAGTTGTGAGTTCAATACCTGACTACAGCAGAGAGAACCAAAATTTGGAGAGCTGAGTTATTAAGAGAAATTAAATAAAACTTGAGATATCCAAAGGCATGGCATGTGGAATTAGAACAATCTACCATCCGTAAAGATTTCGGTTCGAAATTCCAAATATCGCCTGAAGAAGGCCGGAGCGTACAACGGTCGAAACGTCCTGAATATGGCAATAAAGATGAGACAGAACAATGTAAACAACGTAAACAAAAAATATATATATGCAGATATCATTGATGTAAGCACATTTTCAAACTTGACATTTGTAAATAAAAGCAAAGTACAGATAACTCTGTAAAAAATCAGGGAACAATTTGTGACTGCATTCATATTATGGACAGACGCCCCCCCCGCATCAGAAATTATCAAAAAATCAATATTTTTTGTATCTGATAAATGTTGCGACTGGGGGGAAGGTCTAATAAATGCCAATATACAATTATTGCTCCCCCACCCCAATTCCCTATTATTTAAGAGTGGATCAATCTGTTTAAGTAGCGCCTCGTTTGAGTTCCAGCTTAATCAATTCCCTGTTGTAAGGCATGGATCTATTTCTTCTCAATGCTATGAGTTAAGCAGTAGCCTTGGGTGTCAGCTAGTCTAGGAAAAAGACTACTCTGAATTTAAAACCGTGACGAAAGAAACAGAAATAACTCCACTGTCTTTTCCAGAAGTCATGGCAATTCACAGGTAATAAATAAAATGAAGCTGTGGAGAGTCGTGGTTGCTTACACCTTGACGTGACAAAGGTAAAAAGGCGAGCTAGTTTAGATGGTTACTACTATTGCATTGTTAATTTATCATTGGGCACTCAAAACTTGTGACCTTGTGTGAAACTACGTTTCTTAAATACTGTGGTGGTTGTAACGGTTAGTGAGATGCTCTTATTTTTTATTCCATGCCTTTTTAAGGCGTAGGCAATCAATGTCTGTGCTCAGGAAATTATTCTGATACCAAACTTGCCCTGAAGTCATTATATTGAAAATGCCGCCTTGGACTTTCTTAAAGAATAACATCGTTCTCGATTCCACCTGAAGTGAGTAATTGTCGATATTTTGGAAGAATTAAAAGAGGAACGAAAAATACTCAGAAATTTCTTCGCTTTTTAAAATTTCGGTTGGATTTCGTGAAGGCCTCTAATGGGAAACCAATTAACATATCTTGATAGTGCGCTAATTTCGAGTTATTTGCTTGGTTTTATTATGTGATATACTTTGCGTTGTATTTCATGAAGACTTCTTAATAAATATCAATAATATGGTGTTATTTACAAAGTTTAGCAACAAAAAAAAGCTTCAAGTATTGGGCACTCAGCGAGTATCAAACTCAGGAGTAGACGCAACCAGACTAGACTCGTTAACCATTAACCCACAACGGGTTATGTTGATTGATTTTATGTCAACCCTTGTTTGCTTATTTAATGCTGAATTCTATACGAGGTACAGTTTGAGGAATTAGTCTCAGGAGGATTTCTTTGGTAACAAAGAAAAGAATACTGAACTGTTACGTAACATCTGTCCTTCTTTACGGCAACAAATGTTGGACGATTTCCTCAAAGATGAAGGGACTCGAGGCGACAGAGATATGGTTCTCCAGATGGATGCTTAGGATATCATGGACCGAGCGTGTGAGCAACGATGAAGTCTTAGAAAGGCTTCAAACAAGGAGGCTTATACTTAACACCAGGAAGAGGCAGCTGAAATTTCTGGGACACATAATGAGGAAGCGGGGCCTGGAGAATCTGATACTCACGGGTCAAATAGAGGGGAAGAGAAACAACGCGTGACATATCTGGCGAACTTTAAGCAAGTGGATGACAGAACGTGATCTGGTGGAGAAAGCAGAGGGAAGGAACTTGTTGGGAGCTGCAAGGGATAGAAGGAGGTAGAGAGCCATGATTGTCTACGTCCTGAAATGATATGGCACATAAAAAGAAAGAAAGAAATAGTCAGTCAGATTAGCTCGTTAATCGTTACTTCATGCGGAGACGCCCAAATATTTGTATGTTGATTTGGTATTGCTTACAAAAAAAAAACAAAACATTTTTTTATTTTTATTATGTTCCATTTGTTACTGAAAAAAATATTTAATTTTTTTTTTTAAAGATTTTCTGGAATTGGCGGGAAATTTATTTTCCTTATTGGATAAAGAAAACACAGGGAAAGCTGATAAACTTCTGTGTGATGTTCTCCTTGAACAGTTAAAAGATGCCCTGGCCATCTCGGTGGACAATCCCGAACGGTAAGTAACCACCACTCTCCACGCGTACATATTCCTCTCATCAGCATGACTGATGCTAACCTTCATAGAGTGACTTGTTGCTCGTTATCGGTCTAACAACCTCGGCTGACATGAGGTGGAAAGACTATATTAAATTCATTGCTAGGTCTGCTGCTAAGAATTGTCCGTTCACTGTGTTATGCTAGACAAGTTTTCTCTCTCTTGCATATTTATAAATCTACCATTCGTCCAGGCTTTGAATATTGTTGCCACATCTGGTCCAATGCTCCTGTTCTATATTTAAAGATTCTTGATAAAATCCAATTCATCAGACCTACAAATTCAAAAAGAAATCGGAAAATATAACTCCGGGTATAAAAACTTTTTTTTATGCATTTCTTTTGAAGTTATATCTTCCGATTCCAATTTAATAAATTATAACCATAGGATATTAGTGTTTGAGCCTTTTATATTATATTCTTACTCTGTCCTGGACATTGAGTTCTACTCGGATTCTATCCTCTTGTGAATATATATATATATATATATATATATATATATATATATATATTGACCACTAATATTATCAATATATATATATATATATATATATCATCACTTGATAAGACACAGAGTGTGTTGAAACAAAATGGCTATTTTTGTAGTGATTTTATAACATACTTATGTTATAATTTTTTATAAAATAAATATATATATATATATATATATATATATATATATATTACATAATAAAATCCAAAAATTGCCTCATATGGGGTATAGGCTTATTTCAACCGACAAAAATTCGTCAGTCTTATTCAACCCCGGTATAGGCTGAGTTCGTGTCGGAATTAGAAATTTCCGGAATTTTCGGACACGTCTGTCTCCTTTATCAACGAAGCGAGAAATAAACAGTGAAATGGTGTTTACTCACTGAGTGTTTTTTGTGGACGGTGTATTTTCTGGTGGAGATCATACTATTAGCCAAACCCCGATCTCTGTCTCATTCATCGCACAACGAGAAATCAGAAGTTATCCTAACTACAGACTGTCGTTCTGAAATAGGCAACTTGGTCGAAGAATTTTCAGCTACACTGACCACACTCGAGAGGTCTTCCCCATTCTGAAACCTATGACTCTTCATCTATGTTTGCAATCTCACTCCCCTGCTAGTAATAATAGGCCAGCCTAACGCTTTTACACCGATCAAATTTTAAATTTAAGTTTATTTTCAAAAACGTTTCACACAACGTGGAATGAGACAGAGATATTTTGCTAATAATATAATCTCCACCAGAAATTACACCGTCTACAAAAACATCTGTTTGGGAGTAATTGCCATTTCTCTGTTTATTTCTCGCTCCGTTAATGAAGGACGCAGACGTGTCCGAAAATTCCGGACTTAAAACCTTTTTTCCGTGCTTCACTTCTGTCATATGGCTAATAATTAATATTAATAAATGTTTTCGTACTGATTATAATGGTACACTTTCGTTTGTCCTTGTTTTATTGACTAACCTATCTATTAAATTTAAATTAACATGGGGAGCAGCATTTAACTTCCTTCAGTAATATTAAGTATCGTAACCAAACATCCTTATCCAAATATTATTGACAATTAAGAGAAACAAATAAAACACCAACAGTAAAAATGGAAACTAATAAAAAAACAAGAACTTGTAGATCTTTGGATGACCTATTCCTACATGATATTATCTTTGGATGACCTATGCCTTCATGATATTATTAAGTTTCTGAAAAATAAAAAAAACTATTAAATCAAAGAAATGAAATAGTAGTTTTCTGTAGACATTGTTTAATATACTCCTTAAAACTAGTTTCAACCGTAAATAAAAGATTAAAAGATAATTTATATATTTATATCTATTATTTTTTGCATAAAAATTTATAAATGCATAATTAAATTCTAATAATACCATATATAGTCTATTAGTAAATTAGATAAACATAGTATTTTAGATATGTAAATATAAAAATATGAGTATAAAAATATGACTTAATCATATTTGAATAACCCTTTAAGAAAATCTCGATGTAGTTTTAAAAAGAAAATAAATAAATAAATAAATAAATAAATGCCAAACATATTGTAGCGTAGACATTAATAAAATAATCCAGACAATAATAACTTGACAGCTTGAAAGGAAGACAGTGTAGCCAAACAGAAATCATAAATCTCACTCAGCCTAAACCGACTTTAAATTTGTCACATGTGCTTCCTACATTCGAAGAAAAGCCAACACTCCTTTATAAAATAATGTGAATTTTCTTAACATCACCAACTTAACTTAAAAATAGAGTAAATTTTTTCATAAGTTATTCTTAACATTGTTTAAGAATGGAACCGAGTCCTGAATTTTAAATTTAAATTCTAAAATTAGATTTTAGGATTTTAGCTTCGGTTTCGAAACATAGTAATTTGTGTGTCGCGATGGAGACCTTTTTTTTTCAAAAAAATAATTGTAATATTATGCTCTACTTTGTATCGGGTACTGTATTTAAAAAAAAATTGCTGAAGAACACCGGAACTCTGTTCTTTACTACTATTTGAATATATATATATATATATATATATATATATATATATATATATATATATTATTTATATATAAATATATACATATATATCCAAGTATAGGGTTAGTGTATACGGAATAAATTCCAATAACCGAAAAATGCTATTCTTAAAAGACTGCTCAATACAGAGAAGAAAAAGTATAATTTATTCGAAAATTATCACATCAATATGTTATAAAATCACTACAAAAATAGCCATTTTGTTTCAATACTTCTGGTGTCTTATCAAGTGATGGTGTTGAATGTAGAAATGTAGAATGTATTCTACATTCAACACCATCACTTGATAAGACAATTGTAGAAGTATTGAAACAAAATGGCTATTTTTGTAGTGATTTTATAACATATTTATGTTATTTTCGAATAAATTGCACCCCCCACACATATATATATATATATATATATATATATATATATATATATATATATATATCCATCCTCCCTTCAGTATACCCATTCCCTTCGGAGGACTGAGGAAAAAGACAGAAAAGAAATCGCGAGATAATGTGAAACTTGTAGAAATTTAAACACACACACACACACACACATATATATATATATAAATATGTATATTATTTATATGTAAATATTAATATATATAAATATATACATACATATACGTATATATATAAATATGCATATAATATTAATATACATATATATATATATATATATATATATATATATATATATATACACACATATATAAATATACATTTACATATAAATTTATACGTATGCACACACACACACACACACACACATATATATTTATATACCCTCTCTTCAAATTCGGTGGACTGAGTAAAAAGCCAAAGTGAAATGGGGAAACTTGCAGAAATTTAAACAGACAGACAGACAGACACACACACACACACACACACACACACACACACATATATATATATATATATATATATATATATATATATATATATATATATATATATATATATAATTGTGTATTTGCACCCCCCTTTTTTATACAAGTTTTGTTAAAAATGGCAGACAAGCTACTGCAGTTAAGTTTTTTTTTTTTTTAAATTTTTTCTTGTGTTATAATTTTCTTCTTTTCTGGACATAAATAATGTAGAAATTGTCCGAATGTTCTGAATGTCCGAGTCCTTTTGGCTACACTTTTAGCCATTATCTAGGATGATTTTATTTTTACTTTTAACTGAATGAATGCATTTTTTTATGTATGTATCTAGAGTTATAGTAATGTTTTTAATTTCTAAAGATGGTCAGCATATATATTCAGGGTGTCCCCAAAATTTTAGCTTCGTCGTTAATTTGAATATTTATAAACAATTTCATTTAATATTTAATTTAAACCGGTAATCTTCTTTGTAAGTCTATAAACATTAATATTTCTTAATTGTAATCATTAATCTTGATTACAAGTCAATAAACACTACATTTAAAGTGTGAATACATTTTATTTTGGTAGGGAGGGTACCCCGTATATATGCACGAAGGAATGTTGAAAAGTTCTCGGTCCGACGATCTTTTAGAACTCTGACCGAATGACCAAACATCGGACTTTTTTTATTGGAATTAATTCTTGGTCAGGTCCAGAAGATTTCAGCACCCCATCGTACAGATAAATATGTGTTTATTTCCACTGAATTCTGCCTGTAAATATTTAAAATTATTTGTTCTTTATTTTCTCGCTTTAAATCAAGAACGTGATCTTTTGACAGCCTCTTGGAAGCGGGTTATAATATGAGTCCAGAGAAATTAGAAGCAATTTTGGAAAAGGTAATTTCTTTCTTTGCTCTGTCTTTTTATTAATTGCGTGCCTCCTCCAATGAGTCCGTAGCCGACCACGCAGTTACGAGCTGAAATTTTCGCTGTATAATGTTCAGTCTATGGTGAGCTCCATTCTTTAGCATCACCAGGTCAGACATTTATAGCTAAGACACACCACGCTACTTTCACAACGGAAGGGACAACTCAATAGCGTCAGCTCAACACCGCCGACTAAATACCGTCAACTCCATACCATCAACTCAAAACCGCAGTCTCAATACCGCCGACTCAAAGCCACCGACTGAGCTCCGTGACATTCAGTCTATGGTGAAATCGATTTTTTAGCTTCATCAGGTCAGACATTTATAGCTAAGACACGCCACGCTACTTTCACGGCTGAAAGGACAACTCAATACCGTCGGCTCAAATCCACCGACTGAGCTCCGGGAAAACTCAGAAGTGAGACAACTCAGGATCGAGACAACTCAGCACCAGAAAAATATAACTTTTTATAAAAGTAATTTATTAAGGATTAAAATCTTAAGTAGTGAATAAATTTCTTCAAATAATGCCGAAGAGAAAATGAAAGAGAAAGAAAGAAGAAAGGTAGAAGAGAGAGAGAGAGAGAGAGAGAGAGAGAGAGAGAGAGAGAGAGAGAGATAAAATCAAGAAGGAAAAACAGTCGAAGAGAAAGTGAAAAAGAAAGAAAGAAATTTAGATGTGGGAGAGAAATAGAAAGAAAAAAAATAAGAAAGAAAGAAAGAAAGAACACATTAAGAGATAAGCGAATAAACAGAAAAGAAATGAAAAAAAGGGATTTCATTGTTCATTTGGCGACTGAATAAATTCGATAGCGACGTCGGCAAGAAGTCAGGCTTCTGAGAACGCAGTTATTTACGTGTTACTCGATATTAAACGCTTGGCAGGCGGTTTAATAGTCCTTTCTGGGCTAGGAGGGACAACTCAACACCGCCGCCTCAACACCGCCGCATCAACACCGCCGATTGAGCGCCGGGACAACTCAAGACCGAGACAACTCAGCACCAGAAAAACATAACTATTTTTTATAACCGAATAAAAGGAATTTATTAAGGAATCAAATCTTAATTAGTGAATAAACTTCTTCAAATAAGATCGAAGAGAAAATGAAAGAGAAAGAAAGAAAGAAGAAAGGTTGAAGAGAAAGAGAAACAGAGAGATAGAGAGAGAAATAAAAATAGGAAAAAGAAAGAAAGAAACAGTGAAATCAAGAAGGAAAAAACAGTCGAAGAGAAAGTGAAAAAGTAAGAAAGAAATTTAGATGTGGGAGAGAAATAGAAAGAAAGAAATATTTTTAAAATTAAGAAATAATATTTTTAGAATTATTTTTAATAAAGTAATTCGTAAAGAAATTTATTTTTTAATGAATTAAGTTTTTAAATTTAATAAATTACTTTTATTCGGTTATAAAAAAACGTTATGTTTTCTGGTGCTGAGTTGTCTCGGTCCTGAGTTGTCCTGACGCTCAGACGGCGGTGTTGAGGCAGCGGTGTTGAGTTGTCCTGAACCCCTTCCACGGAGTCGAGCCACCCTCATTTCCTTCGCGCTCCAAATGTAAGAACGTTCCTCTCAGTTCTTTTTTCCCTTAGAACCGCCACTTGATGTGGCTGACTCCCACGTGTGTGTTTCCTTGAGAACTACAATGTTAACCTCTTCATTTCGTGATTCAATCGTTATCTAATGTCTATCGCTATTTCCTAGGATAATGTTGAGTTACATTCTTTAGTTCAGATAGTTACTTCTAAGCTTTTCATGCGACATCCGCAGAGCCGAATTACTCTAACCCATACACCTGACTGGAAGGGTCAAAATGTCTTGCGAATGGGAATAACATCAATGGCATAATAAAAGATACGCTTGTTCGAACAAAAATTTCTATATGAAAATGCTTAACATTTACCAATGTATTATGTGCATTGACAAGGAATGAGATTATATCAAAAGCTTAATAGTTGTGTAAAAATAAATGCTTTTTCCCATTATATGGCTACGGACTTATTGATATGTATATGCATTTCATTTCATTTCATTCTTTCTTTCTTTCTTTCTTTCTCAATTTGCTTCTTATCTACATTTTCTTTCTTTCTTTCTTTCTTTCTTTCTTTCTTTCTTTCTTTCTTTCTTAATTTGCTTCTTATCTACATTTTCTTTCTTTCTCAATTTGTTTCTTATCTACATTTTCTTTCTTTCTTTCTTTCTTTCTTTCTTTCTTTCTTTCTTTCTTTCTTTCTTTCTTTCTTTCTTTCTTTCTTTTAATTTGCTCCTTATCTGAATTTGTATACATTTTTCTTTCTTTCTTTTTTTTTTTTTTTTTTTTAATGTAGGCTGATTTTATACGTATGTATATATACAAATCTATAAAGTTTTATGCTTCATAGATTTTTTGTATATCACTTTTATGATTGTAGGTAAGATTCATTATTTCACACTTTTAATTTCTGAGAATGCAGAAAGGCAGACAAGGAGCCCCACCATTGCAATCGTCACCTTACAATCGGCTAATCCAGAATTGAAATACGCAAATCGATACAGAAAAGTTCTCGCTTTTTTCCCATATCTACGATTGTAGACTAGATGCATATTTTATATTTGGCAAACATCAGCCCCAAACTATATTCGGAAAAAAAGGTATAAATAGAAAAATAATTATTTAAAACTCGTCTTCGACGTTATATATATATATATTTTGTTACAGTAGGAAATCTTTTTTTATGGTTATTAAGTAAAAACACCAATCACGGAAGTTTTAAACAAACATTTTTAAAAGTTTTGCAGTAATTACAATATTTCCTTTAAAATTTAGTTTGGGTTTTAATTAAAAGAAAAATGGAAAAAGTTACAGTTGTTTAAAGCAGGTCTCAAACTGTTTTTAAATAAATATTTTGTCAGCGACAATTGACTTTTGTTCAAACCATGTCTGATGTCATCAGACAGAAAGATTTAAGCGCAATAATTAGATTTTTTAAGGACAATAAAGTCACCAAGACGCAATGGTGGATGGGTGGATGTGACTGTATTGATAATGTTATAATTATTCATAAATTATTGATTGTCATGTTGTATTGATAATGTTATAATTATTCATAAATTATAACATTATCAATACAACATGACAAAGACGTCTTTGTCATGTTGTATTGATAATGGTATAATTTATGAATATGTCCTGAAGATGGTTTATTAGACCGAAACGTCCGACGTTGACATATTAACATTAAAACAGTATAAATTGTATATAAGGATTTTTGTTTGTTTTTTCCGTATATATTTTTCTTCATATATATATATATATATATATATATTATGATTATTTTAAAAATTTGATTCCATAGCTACATAAGAGTTCTCATGTTTCAAAAACAGAAGCAAAAGATTTCAATTTACATGAGAAATCTTATGTAGCGATGGAATCATATTTTATAAATAATAATTATAATTTAGGCTCTACTTGTATATTGAGCACTGTTTATATATATATATATATATATATATATATATATATATATATGAATTTTCCTTCCGAAAGTTCTCCGCTGCCTTAACCGGGTATTAACAGGAGATAACTGATAAGTGACATCCATTAAACATGTCACGTGGAACTAGAACATTCTACCCCAGTGAGCGAAATAAAGGGTTCAGTTCGACATTCCAACCACCTGAAGAAGGCCGGAGCGTACAACGGCCGAAACGTTGTAATAAATATGGCGACAATGATGAGGACAATAGTCCGAATAATGTAAATAATGTACATAATGCCTCATCTTAGAAATATAGACAGATAATAATTCTTTATCTTAAAAAATAATTTTTGGTGATTTGGTCAGATTCTGGGAAGTAGGTTGGGCCGGGAATATTTCATAACTTTTTGGTCCATGTAACATTTTCAATTTCTTTGTCTAGGTTTTAAACACTGAAGCGAATCATGACATCAAGACCACAAAAGAACTTTTTGTCCTGACTGCCTTCAAGCATTTTATCAGTAAGGTAGGTCTATCTCTATCCAGGGATTTCTTCTTATATCTCAAAGAGTTTTTTTTTCCGGGGCTACCAGTTGTTTAAGAAGTTTGCCATTCATTTATTTTAATACCTATTCTTTTTTGTACATCACCATTGGCATCATTATAAGTATTGTTGAAGTGTAATGAGAAGAAGAGTTGTAGCTGTGTTGTTGACGCAGCTTATCGCATGTTGCCGACGTGAGAGTGGGACATAGATCAGCGTTTTCAAATCTTTTTTTTTTTTTTACTGAGACCTACAGCAAGACCGACATTTTGTATTGCGACTCATTATATCTACGCATCAAAGATAAACTCTGTTTATTAGGTTCATTTATTTAACATCGACAATTTATATGTATATTTCTTATGATCCGCACATATTGGAATTGCATGTACCTATTTGTATTAGTTTGGTTTGTTTTGTTTTACGGTATATCAACCTCAATGGGTCATTTAATGCCGACAACTATTTTTTTTTCCTGGTAATATTTTTGTTTTGTCAAAAATCCATTTCTGTTAATATTTTTTCCTCAAAAATATATAGCTGGTAATATTATTTTTCCAAAAACGTACAACTGGCAACATTATTTTTTCCAAAAACGTATAGCTGGTAATATTTTTCCAAAAACGTATAGCTGGTAATATTATTTTTCCAAAAACGTATAGCTGGTAATATTATTTTTCCAAAAACGTATAGCTGGTAATATTATTTTTACAAAACGTACAATTGGCAACATTATTTTTCCAAAAACGTATAGCTGGTAATATTATTTTTACAAAACGTACAACAGGCAACATTATTTTTCCAAAAACGTACAACTGGCAACATTATTTTTCCAAAAACGTATAGCTGGTAATATTATTTTTACAAAACGTACAACAGGCAACATTATTTTTCCAAAAACGTACAACTGGCAACATTATTTTTCCAAAAACGTATTATCAGAGGCCTTGCTGTTGAACGTAGTTTATTGTCATACTCTGGACGCGGATGTAGTTTAACGTCATACCCAGGACGAGACGAGATCTGGGTTTGGGGTTAACTATTTGCCCATAGCTGGAACCCTAACAGGTGCTACCACCCCGGGTCAGGGTGGATCTGGGAACACCAGCAATTAAGCCTTGCTGTTGGATGTAGTTTATCATCTTACCCAGGACGCGGATGCAGTTTATCATCTTACCCAGGACACGGATGTAATTTGTCGTCATATCCAGGACGGCTATTTGTATTTCTCGATTTAATTCTCTAATAACTTCTAGATCCCTGCAGTGGCGACATATGGATAAGCATTTTAAATCTTTGTAGCGTTACTTAAAGACAAACATAAAAAACAGATGCAAATAAATGCGAGCTTAATTGGGAAAAATAAATATATATAAATTTGGACATTTCTGAACAAGCTGAGCACCATACATGACATCCTAGAGCTGACGAGGCTATTTAAGAACATGATACCAGGTTAATATTTTGGTCTTATGGTTTTGGAGAAAAGTGCTTCTAGTTTAACCTATTCCATGTTCAACTTCTTTTTCTCCTATGCTAAATTTGTGATAACAGATCCGGACACCGAGGTATTTGCAAAGTTTGGAATTTATTAATTCCATGTTAATCGTCTCATCTGCTGCATTGTTTCATACCTTCAGCTCCTTCTAGGATTCCCAGTTCTTTCAACCCCTTTACAAAATTCTTTGGGACTGTCTCAAGTGTACCATTAATGATGGGTATAACTGTAACCATCATTTTTCACAATATGTTTCCATTTTTCTGGAAAGGGCTAGATAAATTACTTTTCGCTTTCTTCGAATTTTATTCCGTATTATTATTATTATTATTATTATTATTATTATTATATTTCCTTTGATTTCTGGTGTATGTACATTTCGTTCCGGGTCCCACCCAGAGACCTAGGGTTAAAAATGGCATCATGACATTTTCCACTGACAAAAAACGAAACAAAAAAAGAAAAACAAACAAAACAAAACAAAAAACCCACATATTTTACATAGGTAAAGCCCTTCTTAAGGTGTGGGCTGTACTCGTGAGAACAATATTTTGTATTTCTTTAAGGCATGGGCTTCCAGGAATCCCTTCAATTAGTCTACTGGAATCTTTTCCAATCGATCCGAGGGCTCCAACTACAACAGGGATTGTTGATGTTCCCATGTGCCACATTTCTGAGATTTCGATTTCATTATTATTATTATTATTGTTGTTGTTGTTATTATTATTTCTTTGGGTTTCTGTTGTATACGTATTTCCTTCTGGATCCCAACCAGAGACCTAAGGTCAGAAATGGCTTCATGGCATCTTCCATTGAGCAAATCCCTTAGATCACACACATTTTAAATAGATAAAGCTCTTCATAATGTGTGAGCTGTAGTTGTGTGTACAATTTTTTGTGTTTCTTTAAGGCATGGGCTACCAGGAATCCCTTCAATGAGTCTATCGGACACTTTTCCTAATTAATCCAACTGGAATTATTAACGTCTTCATGTGCCACATTTATGAGATCTCATGATCCTATGTATTTTGAGAGTTCTTTGAAGGTCTTCAAAGATATACTACAATCCGCAGAGACTGCCATGTCAATAAGAAAGCACATTCTGTTCTTGTGGTCTTTCATCACGATGTCTGGGAGATTAGCTTCGATTGTTCTTTCTGTGCGTATTCTAACGTTCCATAAAATTGTTAAAGGTCCTATCTCTGTAACCGGGTTTGGTTGATGTTCATACCAGTTTCTTGCAGTTTCCTTTCCGTAAAAAGTTGCATATTTGCCAGTGCAGATATTGGCCCACTCTATCATGCAGAGTTTTCTATTCAGTGAGCGCCAATACCGCGCAACCTGATACAAGATGGTCAATTGTTTCTGGATATTTATCACAGTATCTATATTTGGGTTCAATACAATTTTTCAGTATGTGTGCTTGATAATTTCTAGTCCGCAAGCATTGGTTCTGTCAAACAAGAATAAAACCTTCTGCATTTAACCGTGCACTACGTAACCACTGATGGGTAATTTATTTGCCGACATCAGCTTGTTTGGTACAGGGAAATTACTCAGTATCTGTCTATATTTCTGAGATCAGGTATTATGTACACTATTTACATTGTTCGGACTATCGTCCTCATCTTTGTTGCCATATTTATCACAACGTTTCGGCCGTTGTACGCTCCGGCCGTTGTACGCTCCGGTCGTGGTACGCTCCGGCCGTTGTACGCTCCAACCTTCTTCAGGTGGTTGGGATGCAGACACATGGCACAGTGGATAAAAGCGTTGGTTAGATCGAGTGACAGGACCCAAAGGGTTCTAAGTTCAATACCTGGATAAGGCGGAGGAGAACTTGGAGAGGGGAATTAACAGGAGATAACTGATAACTGACATCCATTAGACATGGTATGTGGAACTAGAACAGTCTATCCCAGCGAGCGAAATAAAGGGTTCAGTTCGACATTCCAACCACCTGAAGAAGGCTGGGGTGTACAACGACCGAAACGTTGTGATAAATATGGCAACAAAGATGAAGACGATAGTCCGAACAATATAAATAGTGTAGGCAGATTATTATTATTATTATTATTATTATTATTGTGTCGGAGAGCAGCTCGCCAAAAAAGTGACGCTGGGGTACAAATATACGAAACCTAATCTACGCAACATAAATACCCAATCTAATATGCGTAATGTGCGCGATATGGTGACAGGTTTTGATGAAAGCTGCACATAACCTTGCAGGTGGGACCCAGTTAAGTTCGGATGTTCCCAAGTATCTAAATGTGACTTCCAAGTCAGAAAGAGAGAGTTGAAACGTTTCGGACACTTAATGAAGGAAGGAGGGCTTCGAGAATTTGACACTCACAGGGCGTATTGAAGGCAAAGAGAGGCAGAAAGTAACAGAGAGTCATATACTTAACTATTTTGCGTAAATGAATGAGTGACAGAACAGTGACGGCGAAAGATAGTTAAAAAGCAAAAGTTACTAAGAACTACAAAAATAGGAAGATGTGTAGAGCCATAACCACTCACACCCAGAAGGGGCACGGCACATAAAAAGAAAATTAGCTTTGATGAACAAAAAGAGTCTAAAAATACACTTTTATGAGCCGCATATTAAATGTCAAAGTACCGAATGTGGCTCGCGAGCCGCAGGTAGCTTGTGAGCCACAGTATTACTAATTTTGGCCTAAGCGCATTCTTTTAAAAATATTAAAATATTCTTGTCATTCAACTTATGTTTATTAAAATTTTGCAATCAAAATAACATACTTTCGAAAAATTGATTTTATTTGATTATTTTTTTTTGATTGGTTAATTTGTCTTTTTTACGGCTTATCAACCCGTTGTGCGTTATTTAAAGCTGAAACATATGGATTGTAAGAATAATTATATTTTTGCGAGTGAATATTGCATTAACAATTTACTGAGAATAACAATGATTTTTCCAGATACAAGTCATACTATTTAACCCATAGCTGGGGGTGAGATGGATTCACATATTTCCCAAAGGTACTTGCGCGAACGCGTAAGTAAATGTAACGAACGTGACTGGAATTCGAACGCGGCTTTCTGATTTTCTATTCCGAGTCATTATCAATTGCACCACACGCACATCCACATTATTCTTTTTTGCTTTTTTTTTTTTAAAGTGATTTCAATATCGTGAAGCTATTAGGTGGGCCACGTGAACCACATTTTAAGAACTGTATTCTCCCCAAAATTTTAACAATGTTCCTCTTTGGGCGATTTCTTATCTCTTGGCAAGGTTCTTTGGTGCCGTTCCAAAGATTCTAGTTTTGATGGGTAATATTGTCACTTTCTTTTTCTAATATTTCAGTTCTCTGTTAAGTTTAAGATTTTTTTCTTTCGGTTTCTCTTTCTCTTTCAGCTCTGCTGGAACGGTACCAGACACAATCTGTTAGATCTTGTCTTTGTTTCCGACGTTTCGATGACGTGCCTGGCATGGATTCCTTGCATGTTTTCTTGTCTTTCAGTTCATCTTTGTCTAAAAATTTCTCTAAATAGAATCCATACCAGTGGTTTCTAAAGCAATAGTCACGATTCAACTTCGGGTCGTATGGATGCATTTGACTTTCACGGGATGATGTCGAAAAATAATAATAAATATAGAAGAATAAAATTAAAAAACAATATTTACATCAAAATAGCATTAGAAGAAGAGGATTCATACCATTCCCAACGGTATTAGCACGTAAGTGAATGTAATGGATTCGACTGGAATTCGAACTCAGTTCTCCGATTCCTCAAACCTAGCCGCTATTCATTACTCCACCGTGTAAGTGTAACGGATCGAAACTAATTGTCGTGACCCAAATTTATATCATAATTTTAGAATATAAGAGATTCAAGAACGGGAAGATAGTTTCAAGAATGTCTGCTTAGGTCGGTCTGAGTATGACGATAAACTACATCCGGCAGCAAGGCATCTGATCGGGAAATTTTGAGGAGCGTGAAACCACCTCTTAATTGCTGGTGTTCACCCTCACCCGGGGTGGTAGCACCCGTTTGGCTCCCAGCTATGGGTAAATACTGAATCCCCGAACAGGATTCAAAACACTATAAAATTGTAAAAATGGATTTTTATAGTATATGTACCAGCAATACATTTTTGGAAAAAATATTATCAGCAATACATTTGACTATTGACAAAAACCCTCTTTATAAAAATACATCAATGGAACTTGATTTCTAACAAAGAATATATATATTCTATTCATACAAACCTATCCTAAATATTTTGCCGGCATTAAATAACCCACTGAGGTGTTGATATACCGTAAAACAAAATAAACCTAAACTGCTTAGGTAATAATCTTTTGTTTAAATATATTCTATTGGAAAGAACAGGCAAAAATGTCTATTACACCTTTTAGTAAATTTCGGCCGAATTAAGGCGTTTAATTCCACACAGGAGAATCTTATTACAAGACTTAATAAACAATTTTAGCCTGTTCCAGCCAATAGAATGCGTTAAAGTCATATCTTCTTACTGTCTTTTCACACTGAAGTGTTCTGTTTTGTATATATCTAAATTAGAATTATCAAATATAATTTTGGAAAGTGAAAATTTCACTGAAATATTTTGGGAATTTTCCAAGATTTCATTTAAAATCGAGTAAATAAAAAAGAACATTAGCCAAAATGACCAGGATATAAGGAAATAAGATGGCGTCAGTTTCAACCGACGTCGGGGAGATATGGGCTGAAGCAAAACCTTTGGGAATAATAAATGATCAATTAATATATGAAAACATATTCCAGTCTGATCACGTCCAATACCTGTACGACGAGACTCGACCACAGTATCGTTTATTGGTTTGTTTAGCGGCATATCAACTCCTTATGGGTCATTTAATGCCGAAATTTAATTTTCTTAGGAGCATTAATAATTTCTTTTACAAAAATGTATTGCTGGTATTTTTACAATAAAAATGTATTTTTATACTTTCATAGTGTTTTGGAGGTTAACTATTTGCCCATAGCTGGAACCCCAACAGGTGCTACCACTCTGGGTCAGGGTGGACCTGGGAACAAGAACAGTTAAGAGGTAGTTCCACGCTCCTCAAAAACTTCGGATCAAAGGTCATGTTGCCGGATGTAGTTTATCGTCATACCCATACAGTATCTTTTCTTACTTCTGGCGTTGCAATTTTGAATGACGATGAAGTTTATTATCATTATGATTACATGAGACAGAGACACACCAAAAAAGTGAGGCTTGTGTAAAAATGTACGAAGCCCAGTATACCAATCATGACACCCAGTCTGCTAAGGGTATAGCAGGTACATGCATGCCAAATGTGCGTGATATGATGATTAGTTCCTTCAATCAGCATAAGACATATGTTTCGACTAGTTTTGGCTTGCATGGCCATCATCAGAAGAAAAAAATCACTGTTTGTTAGTAGCAGAGAACTAGAGGAGTGAATGACTGTCTCTGAAGAAAGTGAACTTTATCTGTAATTTTCATTTGTTTTTTTATTGTTAATTTTGGTTAAACGGCCTTTTTCAAGTTTGTTGTGACCTTGTTAGGGCCAGAAATTTATACGCAAAGAGAAGAATTGAGTTAAACTAATATATTAACAGAAACAGTAATACAAACATATACAAACGAGAGTGTTACAGCAAGAATGTTCGGTCTGACTGTCAGAGCTGACTGCTGGAAACTTCCCGATATTTATTTCTGTTTAAATACAGAAAATGTGGCACAAGGCCAAAATGGGTGGATGGGGAAAAAGACGGTCTTCATTTGTCTTAACTTTAAACTTAGCTAGCCACAAACACTGACCCAAGCATACAAACAATATTCTTAACACCAAAACAACACACTCTTACTTACCTTTCTTACTACATCCACCATAATACCTCATTGTCTCTATGAAAATCCTAAATAGTTCCCATATGTACAATTCTTCGTCTGTGGGGGTGATAAGACAACAATAAAACAACTGCTGGAAACTTCCCTCACCAAAAGGCAGTACCTGCTCCTATTTATAGCTGGGAGAGTCATAACATGGTAATAGGTTTCTTCAATCAGCATAGGACATATCGAGTTTTATTTATAATTTCGATACTCACTTGGTGCCCTACGTCTGTGGGTTTGTGTCAAAAAGAAATCTAAGATTTGCAAATAACAAAAGTTCATTTCAGTTTCAGAGATTTATAGTAAAGAATTCCATTTTTGGATCCGGCCAAACACTGAGAAGAACATATTTCATCAGAAGATTCCTTTGAGATTAAATTTAAATTAAATTACATTATTTTTAATAATGATGGACGTTTGTGCTTTCAATAAGGCTCTTTGCCTGGAACTCAATTGGGGGTCTTTACCTCAAGTAGAACTCAAGTCATCGTTAAAGATCCTGGAAAAATGGTGGGCTCTCTGTATCGTTCCAGAAGGTACGTGACTTCTCTTGCCATGCTCTATCTCTCCGAGTCAGACCAGACCAAAAATGGAACATTGCTGTCACATCGGGAACTGAGCTGCCCAATCCTCACTTTCCAGCCATGTTCAAATGCGCGGCCTTGTGGGTGATGAACCCCCCCATCACAGACGAAACCATGCTAGCTTTTCGCTACTCTATCGCTATTTTGGAGTCACGGTGGAGTAATGGATAGCGGCTCGGATTGAGGAATCGGAGAGCCGAGTTCGAATTCCAGTCGAATCCATTACATTCATTTACCTGCTAATACCCTTGTGAAAGGTATGAATCCTCTTCTTCCCCCAGCTATGGGTAAATAGCAGGACATACCGGGTTCTATAGCCTTGGATGGCAACTCTACCGCAGAAAGAAATGGCAAACTACTGCGGGAAAAATTCTCCTGCGTCAGTCATGTATCGAAAGATACATGATTACCTAAGCGTGTATCACGCATAGCACATAACTGACTGATCGCTATTTTCATGGTAGATGTTCTGGTAAACTACATTCCTTGTTTCACTAGTGCAGACCTTAGCAGTTAGGACCTGCCATGCGACGTACACGGAGTCGATTCATCCTCATTGCCCTTCGTATTTCATTGGTAAAGAGGAAGTCCCACTGAGATAGCTTCTTCTCCAGAATTGTCACAATATGGAACGGAGTTCCGGGGGTGGTGGTGGTGGTGGATTGGCTTCCTTGATCACTACACTCTTAACCTTCTCAAGTCTAATGTTAACTGTTATCTATCCTCATAAAATGAAACTCTTGCTCCATCCTTATACGCACTTAAAACATATCCGTTCAGTAACCCTCTACCATGAGTAGCATTTAGGCCTTGTATTGCATGAACATTAGTAACATTAACGTCCTCGGAGAATTTAAATCATCAAATTGATTTGGTTAAACAACGCCAGTTTCAGAAAGTCTGCCCCGAATCATAAAATAAAAAAAAAGTAATAAAACTAAGACATTTAATTCGAAAAGCTTTTAACTACTTTTATGATTAAAATATCTTATGGGCACTATTGTTCTCAAAAGAAAAAAAATCGATGTATAATGACTATAAAGAATTGTTTCATTTATTTTTAAAATCTAATTAAAATAATTTATAAACTTTTAAATCTTTTAAAAATCTGTATTAATTTGTAGTGGTCAAGTGATATGTTTATTAAATTAAAACTGTATTTACTAATAATAAATGGAAAAGCTCACTACAATTCAACCACCCTCAGTATTTTAAAAGGAATTTTGAATATATTTTATATGTGCATAAATGTGTCGATTTTTGTAAATACAGACATCCATACACGACATTATCAGAAAATAAATGCAGTACCTATAGTAAATTTAAAATTCATTTGTAATTTTCTAACATTTTCTCAATAAGAGTAAGTTAGGTCATAGAGTCAAAGTACCGACAATTCAATAAAATATTAGATTGCATGGAATATTTTCTTAATTTTTTAAAGCTTACTTGGTAGTTAAAAAATGATATAAAAAGGTGTTCACGTTGTATTCGTCAAGTAATTTTACAGGTATGTACCCCTTATTTAAAATTTTCAAATATCAGACTGTCGATAGATCAGTCAAAACTCACTCAATGTTAAAAAAAAGATACTTTTCTGCGATATTTAAATCAGTTAATTTTTCTGAAAAAACGTTTAAGAAAAAGTATATTTTATTTTTGAAAGATTTTTTAAACACAATTATGTTGTGTTGCCAGATTTATCAATTTGGACGATTTTTATAGATTTTATTATACTAAGAAATCAATTTAAATTCGGTTTGAAATCGATCAAGGTATTTTGCTTATTGGAAATATTAAATTTAATCTATTAGCTTGGAATTCAAACTAAAATAAAGGCTTCAAGAAAGATTTTTCATTTTCAAAAAAATGCATTTTAAGCCTTAGGTATAGCCATTTTTAGGTACTTAGGCAAAATTAACTGAAAAACGAATACTGAAAATATGTTCTAGCCCTGGGGATGGCCAGGGCGAACATATTGTGTTCTGGGTCGCTGCCAAAAAAAGTTTGGAAAATACGGTGCTAATGTAGAGTCCATGGCACAAAAGGAAGGGAACGTTGGCAAGTAGGAAAAAAGCAGCAGACAGGTGAGAGAGTATTCAAGTTTGAAGTGAGAGTTGAGGGCTTGTGAGGTGTGGGAATGGTTAAAGAACAGTAGGGTTCCATTGTGCACGGAATCAGAAAACTACTCACACGACAGACGCGAAACTTTAATTATGTCGTGGGCGCCGAGGTCAGTCGGCGAACGGCAAACGCACCTTTCCCGTCTATCAATCGCTTGCCTGCTACAGTCCTCATCAACTCCTCCTCTTCCATCTTCCCCGCTCCTCGCCGATCGGTCGACACACCTTCAGTTCCGGTAAATGAATTAGAACCAAAAGTCTTCACAATGTTACCATTCTATCTCATTGCTGTTTGTCGCTTTCGACCCTCTGCCGATACCCCAAACCAATTGCAACTTTCATTCTTCATTCAACACCTTGTTTTCAATTTCAGATCTTGTTATACGTCCCTTACATTCTTTCCTTCTTTCCTTTTTTTGACTTTCTTTCTTTCTTTCTTTCTTTCTTTCTTTCTTTTCATTTAATTCCTTCTTTTTATTCCTTTCCTTTCCTTCTATTCATTCTCTTTTCATTCATTCCTTACATTGCTTCCTTCCATTTAAATTTCCAACATTCTTTCTTTCTTTCTTTCTTTCTTTCTTTCTTTCTTTCTTTTCCGTCTTTGGACACTTTCTTTCTTTCTTTCTTTCTTAGGACATTTTTCTTCTTTTCTCCTGATTAATTTATTTTTCTTTCTTTCTTTCTTTCTTTCTTTCTTTCTTTTCCGTCTTTGGATAACATCTTTCTTTCTTTCTTTCTTTTTTTCTTTCTTAGGACATTTTTCTTCTTTTCTCCTGATTAATTTATTTTTTCTTTCTTTGTTTCTTTCTTTGTTTCTTTCTTTCTTTCTTTCTTTCTTTCTTTCTTTCTTTCTTCGGACATTTTTCTTCTTTTCTTCTGATTAATTTATTTTTCTTTCTTTCTTTCTTTTATTCGATTTCTCCCGATTTTCTTTGTTCCTTTGGACACTTTTCTTTCTTTCTTTCTTTCTTTCTTTTGGACACTTGTCTTTCTTTTCTCTTGATATTCTTTTTTTCTATCTTCCCTTTTTCATTCTTTCTTTGCTTTATGTTAAACTTAGAGTTGTCTCGCTTCCATAACACTATCCATTTCAGAAGTATCAAATAGATTTATAAGACTTTTAGTGCAAATATTTTTCTATAAGAATTTCTCTTATACGTTGTTAGGCGCACCCCACAAAAACAACCACACACACACACACACACACACACACACACACACACACACACACACACACACAGAGGAAAGAACTCGTTAGGTAAATAATCCAAAGTTCTTTAGTATTTTTGTTATTATTTTTAAAAAATAGTGCTTGATACAAAAGTAGAGCATAAATATAATTATTTATTTAAAAATATGATTCCAACACGCTACATAAGAGTTCTCATGTTTCAAAACCGAAAACTTCAATATAATTATTTGAATTAAATTGAATTAAAGTACTAAGCTCTGTTCCATCTTCAAGCGAAATCTTTTGAGAAACAACATATTGAAATGGAACGCTGATCTTGAAAAATTTCAGTTGTCTGTTTTGATTAGTCTTAATCTTATGTTCATCGTCTTTTCATGTTGAATTAAATATAGTCTAATGTTAATTATGTTTTATGAATATGTCCTGAAGATGGTCTACTAGACCGAAACATCCGACGTTGACATTATATTAACATTAAAACAGCATAATTGCATATTAGGATTTTTGTTTGTTTTTTTCGTATATTTTTCTATATATATATATATATATATATATATATATATATATATTATATATATATATATATATATATATATATATATATATATATATATTACACACACTTTGTATGGCGTATAGTGTTCGTGTGTGTGTGCGCTTATGGTTCGTCTAGTGTGTTGGTTTTGCCAGTATATGTGTATATATTCGTTCTCCATACATATTTACTATATATTATTATAAAAAAGCTCTACAACAGCTACATGTATTTTGTATTGTGTGTGTGTGTGTGTGTGTGTGGTCTGACTAGTGCGTTTCGTCACCATGTGTGTATGGTTTGTGTGTAGGGTTATGATTTGTTTAGTGCTACTTTAAATTTGCCTATTAATTTTTTTCTTGTATTTGTTGGTAAGAGTCTGTTTAACATATTGGCATTATTTTAAATTTACCTTTGCTGCATTTGTGGATGTGTTGTGACACAAAGAATTTGTTGCTTTTGTGAAGTAAAACTCTGTTGTTTAGTGCTCGGGTGATAGCTATATAAGATTTGTTGCATTTTGTGCACTTGAGTGCATAAATCACATTTTTGGAGTTGCGGTTTAAGTTTTTCTTTACTGTGATTGTTGTTTTGCGGTTTTCAAAAGTGTAGGAGTTTCCTTCTAGAATGATAGTACAAACCCCACATCTTTTGTTGCATTTTGTGCCCCCTTTTATTGTGTGTTGATTAAATTTGGGTGAGGTTAATATGTGTTTTAGGTTTTGCTTTTAATTATTTGGGTTTTTTTAGTATATTTTTCATTTTCTCATTCTTGTTAAGTTCTTGTAGATTTCTTATTTCTGTAAATAGTTCTGGATTGTTCTTTTTTGTATGCTGGGACATATGCTAGAATTTGTTCGTTTTTGATTTTCTTTGGGTTTCGTAGTTGGTCTAAAGGTATTTTTCTGGTAGTTCAAAACCTTTGTTTATTAGTGGTGTGAGTAACCTCGTTTTTTGAGAGTTTTATGTAATTCTTCTAGGCAGGTTTTTCAGAGGTGTTTGTCGGCCACAATAGTGCAAATCCTACGTGTTAGTGAATAGAGGATGGAAATTTCTTGAGAGTGCCACTATCGAATCTTGCCAAAATGTTAACATGCAACCGGGATTTTTTCAAATATCTCTTTTCCTAAAAGAAATAAATGTTTTCCCAAGCCAACATACATGACCATAAACATATTTAAAAATTAAAAGAAAACGGTAGAAACAAAAATTTCTATTATATAAAATAGATAAATACATAAATAATTTATTAAAATGAAATAATAAATAATAATTACATGGATAAAAATAAAGACAAACAAATAAGAATATATAAACAAATTCA